CTTTACCATCACCTTTACCATCACTGCATCCTTTCAGCTTTCCTCTTTCAACCAGGATGGATCTTTGCCCTGAAGGCACTCTGCATATCCAAATTGTGCGGTACAACCCTTTTAAATTTTTAGTTGAGCACACGCATTTGGCGTAACTTGGCCCCATGCGGTGACAATCTGCAAACAACGACTTCAGCGGCATCGTCGCAAATGAGGCCCCAAATCGACTCAATTCATGGCTGCAAGGCAAATGTTTCCTTAACAAGTGCAACGCTCTCCAATTGGGAGTGTGACAGAACTTGTTTCGGGAAGTACTCGTGACTTGTGGCTGGGCAGAGTTGCGTTGTGAGGACCACAAACCTATGAAATGGCCTCCTACAGTTAATAGTACACCTTGCCACAGCTTTGTGTCCAGGTATGTTTGGGCCCGAGGGATTAGCAGGAGAAAGGTACATACAGCTTTTTTCTTTGCTAAGTCCCTGCGCCAGCCGGGTCACACACGCCTCCCTGGACGAGTCAGTCACTGAGGCCAGTGGGTGTCACAAGGATCAGAAGTCTGAGCTGTACTTTTAGGCCGATAAAGTAGGAGGGCGCTCTGCTTGTTTTGGTCCAGGCGACTAACAACGCGGTCCTAGCAACACGTTCCCCCCATGTGAACATTGAACTCTCGGTGGAGAAGCCTTGACTACACCTCTTCAAAGCCAGTCGCGTCCCTCCCACTTTGGATGGTCCCACTAAAGGTCGAGTATCCAAGGTGGGCTAGAAGGGAGTTCAATCACAAGAGGAACAGGAACGAGGCTTCTCCTCCTCCAGTTGTGCATAGGCTTGCTCTTGAGGGTATTGTGGGGTCTACGAATGTACTCTCACGACTTAGCAAACTTCTCTTGGAGGACGTGGAGTCGAAAGTCTTGCATGTCAATGAGTCAAATTGCTCGAAATTCACTCATTCTCTCCACCACTCGCCTACTCCTCCATTATCAGGTGCCCTTCTTCCATCCATTGGATTTGTGGTGCTTCCAACATGGAGTTCGCTATGTGACCTCGCGCCGCCTGCACCAAAAAATTGACTGTGACGTTGTCCAACTCACTTGCGTGTGCGTTGGAGTCTATTGTCTAAACATTGTGCCCAGTCACTCCGACCGAAGCAGGAAGGGACAAAGATGCACTGCAATGGAAGCAGTGGGTGGCAAGACGAACATGTGATTGTCTGAGATTGCATTTAGGCGGCAGTGTTGGCTTCCTCATTTCTGGTGACACCACGGCTGCACTTCACCTCCTAAATCAAACACAGAGGAGTGACTCGGTCTATGCTGATGTGCCAAGCGATTGAACCCCTAGGAAGATCCGGATTCCAAAACCACTTCACTGTTTAGTGCGTGATCAGAGGCATGGCACAAATCAGTATGTCTCATTTCACTCATGAGTGGACATTCGGTGAGTGAACGTGTGTTGGTGGATTACACTGATGCCCTCTAAAGCGTACTGAGTGGGACGAGCAATTCAAAGTCCCGTCCATTCCCTTGTCGGCTTAGGGTAAAGCATATTTTGCCG